GTTTCAAAGATTAGACGGAATCTAGATAACAGCTAAAACCAAGTCGTGTTCTTCTCGTCCAAACGTGATTACAAGGATTGATATTGGCTTGTGCAAGTCGCGAGCCTTCAGAAACAATCTAAACTTGACTTGACGTCTAAGTGCGTGTTTGGGGAAGCCTCTCGGGTTTCTCTCGCTCTCTGTGTCTCTTATTTTCTCTCTATTTCTCTCTTTCTCTGTCTTTCTCTTTCTCTCTCTCTCTCTCTCTCTCTCTCTCTCTCTCTCTCTCTCTCTCTCTCTCTCTCTCTCTCTCTCTCTCTCTCTCTCTCTCACTTTCTCTCTCTCTCCGTCTCTTTGACCATATATATATATATATATATATATATATATATATATATATATATATATATATATATATATATATATATATATATATATATATGCATATATATATATATATATATATATATATATATATATATATATATATATATAGTATATATATATATGCATATATATATATATATATATATATATATATATATATATATATACATATATATATATATATATATATACATATATATATATATATATATATATATATATATATATATATATATATATATATATATATGTGTGTGTGTGTGTGTGTGTGTGTGTGTGTGTGTGTGTGTGTGTGTGTGTGTGTGTGTGTGTGTGTGTGTGTGTGCGTGTGTGTGTATGTGTGTGTGTGTGTGTGTGTGTGTGTGTGTGTGTGTACATACATGGGTATATATATACGTTTTGCGAAAATTTGTAGGACCTTTCTCTCTCTCTCTCTCTCTCTCTCTCTCTCTCTCTCTCTCTCTCTCTCTCTCTCTCTCTCTCTCTCTCTCTCTCTCTCTCTCTCTCTCTCTCTCTCTCTCTCTCTCTCTCTCTCTCTCTCTCTCTCTCTCTCTCTCTCTCTCTCTCTCTCTCTCTCTCTCTCTCTCTCTCTCTCTCTCTGAAAACCCCTAGGACTTCCTTCCTTCCTTCGCTCTCTATCTGCACTTCACCGTCAACCGTAATATTCCGACGAAGAAGTGTGCAAACAGTCGTTGACTGAAGGGAAGTCCTCTCTTCGGTTCGGTCCTTCGATAATCCTGCCATATCCATTAGGACATTGCACGGGTCTGTGGCGTCGTTCTGCTGTGACTTTTGCAACGGCAAGCACTGCAGTTACTAGGCTGTGACGCTGTGCTGTCGTTTGGTCGTACCCGAGGGAATGTTTAGGGTTTTATAGACTATCGTTTATATTTTGGTTCGTCTGTCTGATGTGTGTTTTAGTTTTGAATGTTGTATTTATATCTGGGATTTTTTTTTTTTTTTTAGAAATTTATTATAGTTTTTTTTGGGAGGAGGGGAGGGGTTGATAGTTAGAAATTTATTATAGTTTTTTTTGGGGGGTGGATTGTGATGATAGTTTTGTTTTATGTCTCTTTATTTAAATATCGAAATATCTTTTAAAACATCGCACGACATTTGATTGTGTGAAAGTAACGTTTCTGAAAGACAGGTGCCTATCTAAGACTAAGCGTTGATACATCTCCAAATGCCAAAATCAACATCCCATGGCAACAGCAAAATGCCATTCCGTGCAGACATTGAGCACGAGTTTTATTTGAATCTGGTTAACATCAGCTCCATTAATGTTGCAGAGGTGAGAATGTTTGCACTTCCATAATGGGCACAGACATTCATTTGGCGTCCATCATTACCGAGTCGGCGAGGGGGCTGGGCTGAATCATTCAACTGGGAATAGATATGTGAGATATTCTATATCGGCTTGAGAGATATAGCACACTCAACCAGCCACCCACTCGCTCACTCGTTCACTCGCTCGCACGCTCGCTCGCTCACCTCGTTCACGCTTTTGTTCACTTAATCGGCGTCTCTCTCTCTTTCTCTCTCTCTCTTTCTCTCTCTCTTTCTCTTTCTATCTCTCTCTCTCTCTCTCTCTCTCTCTCTCTCGCTCTCTCTCTCTCTCTCTCTCTCTCTCTCTCTCTCTCTCTCTCTCTCTCTCTCTCTCTCTCTGTCCCTCTCTCTTTCTCTCGCTCGCTCGCTCGCTCGATCGTCCACTTACTCGCACTCACTTATGCAGTTACTCTGTCATGCACTCACTCACTCACTCATGTATATATTCACTCATGCACTTACCCTTTCACTCACTAAACTTACTCATTCATTTGCTCCCTTACTCAATCGTTCATTTACTGTCACATTCATGCATTCATGCCCCCCTCTACTCCACTCATTCACTCTCTAACTGCCCCACAAACTCACTCGCTCACTCGCTCGCTCTCTCACTCACTTACTCACTAACTCACTCATTCACTCACCAATTCCCTGACTTATTCACTCACTTAGTCTCTCACTCTCACGTACTAGTTCTTTTACTCATTCACTCACTCATTAATTCATTCACTCACTCACTCGTCACTCACTAACTCATTCACTCACTCACTAATTCATTCACTCACTCATTAACTCATTCATGCAT